GAGTGGTAATGTTAGCAATTTAGTACTGTTTCTAGATGGTTTGAAAAATTCATATTCATTTTAAAATTTATGGGCCTTCAAAACAAGCTATCAGTTTTCAAATGGTGTTGCCTCCTTAAGCGTTAGTCATACTGAGTCGAATGTGCATATGGAGTGGAACTAAGAACTAGGATGATTATCTGATGCCTGCCTAAGCTACTCTATGATTATTAAGAGTTGAACATCACATGTCATTCCTTGCTCTAGAAAAAGAAATGAAGATGTGCCTTTTGCAATGTCGGTATGTAAGTATGTAATAAAGGTGTGCCTTCTGCAAAGTCTGTATACAAATATGAACTTATTTACTACACATTACATATTAAATCAAAGTCTTTTTGTTGTTCTAAATTATGTGTGTCAATTAATCAAATTGTTACGACTGTAGGAACACCATTTTTCTTTGCTGCAACGTGAGACCGAAAAACTCCTGAATGACATTGAGAAGATGCGAAGTGAACTGAAGTATGTCCTTTGCATCCATTATATTATAATGTGCCAATCCATCTTTTATTCATCCTGTGACATCGGTACACATGCTTAACAGATATGAGGTTGATAAGCTCACTGCTGGCCAGCGTTTAGATTTAAATCTTGAGAGAGGGTATGGGGAAAAATCCTTATGATCATAATTTGGTTACTACCATTGTTATTATTGATTCTAATACTCTGTCATACTGATTGCATTCTTGTTGCAGACGCATACGTGATGAGCTTGCAAAGCAAAATGCAGAAACTACTAACCTTACAAACAAGCTTGACCGAGTGCGTTCTAATTCCTTTGTTGAGTCGTACTCTGTCTCATTTTACTTTTCTAAGTTACTCCTCTTTCCATATTACTTGCCCTATATGAATTACTATGGTTGTCAGAGCACAAAGTTTATTCTCCTCTAATAACACATAAATTAGTGTTAATAAATAAAACTTGCATATTCGGAAACAACACTAAAAGTTCTGTTGAATCGCACAATTCAAACTTGAAAATGACAAAAAATGGTTAATAAATTTGATAATAGAAATTAAAAGACAACTTAATTGACTAGATAATAGCAACTAGAACAACTAATTTGGAAAGGAGGTAGTATTATTAATTGATCAAACTACATCTTTTATAGCTTAATTTCATTAATTTCTTAGTATTCTTTATTTAACAAATAGTTAGGTTACTATTCGTTTTGTAATTTTTTATGTAGTTTATAAGTATTTAGTTTATTTGCTTATATAAAATTTTCAAAAGAATGAATTGAAATGTCTTTGGCTGTTGCACAATAAGAGGGCATAAATGATGAGGTAAGTATATGCTTTTTTCCGTTCTTATGAAAAGCGAATTGACTCATAAACAGGAAATACATGAACTAAGGGCTCAACTTGAAGCGGCGAAGTATGAAGTAATCAAATATTGCATAGGAACTCTTGTTTCTATCTCTGCTGTCGGCCTTGCAATAGCTCGTTTATATTTGTAAGCACAAGGAATGTTCTTTGCGATTCTTTGAGCCTCTAAGAGGTGCGCTGAGTGCCTAGAAGAAGATAACAACTTTAGAATTTGACATTCACAGTTCATACTTCTTGGGGCTTGATTTTTTTAAAATCCCCTCTTATGGAACAATTGTAATCTTTTATTCTTCCTATAATCGCAAACTCTAAAGTTTGAAAGAACCACTGTAATCTTCTTGAACTAGGCTAAAAGCACATTATTTTTAAGTAATATATTGTTTTAGTTGTCAATCCTCCTCAAACTATGTAGGTGTGTGTGTTTACTGTAAATCTTCAAATTTAATGGCAATTCAATTTGGAGTTAAAAAATCCACTATACTCATTAGCTTACTTAAAGTCTTAAAGGACCCTCTTCGCTCTTACCTGGTAAGAAAGAGTGTTTTTATTTGAATGCTTCTGTTTTCTTCTTCGGGTTTTATTTGGTGTATAGCATATGATCTAATCACAATTTGGTCCAGTTTGATCTTTATGTTTCTGAACTATTTTGGTTTGGAAATAGTACAAGCATTATTAAGTTAAAATAAAGAAGTGAACAGAGCAAACTATTTTGGCTGATCAATCTCACATACTATCGTACTTTGAAGTTTTTTCCCACATACTTTGAAGTTTTATGAGTTATGCCAGTAATATCTGAATCTTTTGAGTCTCGAGTTCAAATAATTCATCTGATGTTTATGCATTTTGGTGTAAGTTTCTTCTAAAAGTTATCAAATAAGCGCAACGCAATCTTGAAGTTATACACTTCAAGAGTTCAAGTTAGATTTAACATTTCATATTTATTTCTTTCTATCGCCCAAAAAAATCAAAACACTATGCCAGTCAAGTGACTATTTCCTCCGTCCTATTTTACCTGTCTTATTTTCCTTTTGGGTTGTCTCAAAATAAGCGTCACTTTTCCTTTTTTGGAAAGAAATATGTGGTTCACAACATTTCACTTACTATACTCAAATCTCAACCACAACTTTTACCATTTCGTCCATTTTATTAAAAATTGTGCCAAAATAAAAGGAGACACATAAAATGGGACAGAGGTAGTATTAAATACGGAATTACTTAAATTGCCAAACTTAATTGAATTGTTATGTTCTGAACAGTCCACAGTTATTGCCATTCCATATGCTTTTTTCAATAAACAAAATGAACAAGAATACACATATCTAATAAAATTTTTGCGCTTTTTTCAAGGAGCAAAAATACGTCACATTATTCAAATAAAGAGTAACGTGAATAGCTCTTTTTGCACACGATCTGTGAATCATGTCGTTCATGTGATTGATGTGAGACATGTGTTTCACTCAGAACATAGGTGCAATTGTAGTTATGTTGTGGTTCTTGATCACTCATGGACCCGGGTTGGGCCTAGGCTCGGTCGGGCCTCGGATTTTCTGAAGGAGGCCCGGGACCGGCCCAGGTAGCCACCGGGTCCGGGCCGGGCCTCAGGTCAATTTTTTTCCCTTTTCCTAATTAACCCCCCCCCCCCCCACCCCCAAACCACCCCAAATGGTCCAAAATACCCAGCCCAACCCGGAAAGATAAAAAAATTGAATAAAAAATTAAAAAGCCCGGAAATGGGCCCGAACCGGCCTGGCCAGTTCGGCTTTTGGGTGACCGAGCCCGCACCGGGAACCCCCGGGCCGGTTCCGGGTTGGGCCACCCGGCCCGAGTCCAAGACTATTCTTGATTTTATTGCAAGTCATTTGGCAAACGCTATTCCGTCGAATGGTGCTCATTTATGTTAAAAAAAGAATTAAATTGTCGTATTATCCAACGTTCATCATTCATAGTAATCAATATATGTTTTTAATAAGCACAAACATTGTATAAGAGACCAGGGGCAGAGCCACAAAAATGACTCAGCGGGGTCGAAATCAAATTTACATAGAATCAAAACGGTAGATTATTTTTAGACAATACCCGAATAGAATGTAGCTTTGATAAATGATAGTTTAAATGAAACTAATAGAGTGTATGTTGTTAATATACTTCGTATATGTCACATATATTATAAACTTGTTTTATACGGGTTGAGTTGAGTACCTCGGATGAGACCCATTGTCTTACCCTAGTACTCTATGGTTCTCTTCGATCTTACTCGGTTTAGTATCAAGATTTATTACTAGAAAAGAATCATTTATTGAGTAGGCACTCGTAGCAGTAAAATGTGTTGTTTTTGCTCTGTCCCTAAGTTATGTCACGTAAGTAACGAGAATTACACGTTATTTTGTGAATATAATTAATATTACGCATCACAATTTTACTAATTTCAAACTTAAATAGTGTTGATTTTGCAGAAGTCATAACTTTTTACTCGTAATGAGTTACGAGATCCATAATTTATCAAATCGAAGATATTTAAAAGTTCTACACTCTTAACTTTTCAGCGGGGTCGGCTGACCACCCTAATTCCCTAGTAGCTCCGCCCCTGTAAGAGACCATAAACACACAAAAAAGTACATAAATGAAAGATTAATGACGACCTCCTGTTTACCCAATGCCCCCCCCCATTATGTATTTTATATACCCCTGCTTTGTATAAGTTTCAGGATGTCAATCATTTCAACTAAGTCTTACGTAAGATGTCTGCAAGACTGCAAAGAACATGAAGATATACACGAGTCTCAGATGAAGACATGATTTGATGAACGATACCTATCAGACTCTCTTAAGATATTAACACACAATTTTTAATCTCCATGTTTCATATCTAACCGATTTGGCTATTCTTGCCATAAAATTAGCTAGGTGTCAAATGCTACTTATCTAATACTGCGGGTGTATACTATTATAAAGTTTAATGGTTATATAAAAAAGTGGATATGAAAATTTTATGAAAGTACAGCACTTGATAAATGTTTACATAAATCAGTTGATCCATCCGGAAATGTTTAGTTATTACTCCGTATTTTTACGAAGCATGAGCTCAAAGAAGAAACACCATCCATATAACCTTTTGGATATGAGAAAAGGGTGACAACCCTTCCTACCAAGTGAGAATAACACACATATATTAAAAAAGCAGAACTATATACTCCATATTTGATACTACTGTTGGGTTCCCTCGAGAAGTTAATGAGAATTCTAGAATATTGCGGAGATGTCTAGAATTCTCTAGATGTGTGTAGAGAAGTATTGAATGTTCTAGAATATTCTGGAGCTTTCTAGAGAGACGTGTAATTATCTAGAAGCGTGTGGAAGAGTGTAGAATATTCTAGAACAATGTGGAGTTTTCTAGAGAAATGTGGAATTCTCTAGAATCGTGCGGAAATTTGTGGAAGCCTCTAGAACATTCTCAAGCGATGTGGAGTTCTCTAGATCCTTCTAGAAGATTAGAGAAGCTTGTGGATAGTTCTTGGAAGAATCTAGAAATGTAGTGATGTATAGAAAGTTCTAGAGAAGCTTTGAGATGAGTTGTATAAATAGGGGTGAGATTCCTCATTCCTAAATGAGAGAGCCTCTAGAGTGAGAGCCATGAAGAGGTCCTAGAGTGAGAGGCTAGAGAGAGCCTCCTCAAGTGATGAGAGAGAGATCCTTGAGGAGGGCTATTGAGTTAGTGAAGGCCTCCTATAGAGAGGGATGTGAGAGTGAAGTAGTCTCATACAAAGAGTGATGTGAGCTACCCATTTACTTGTAAAATATCTCTTGTACATTTCAATTGTATAATACAAAGTGATATTGTAAAATTGAATCTTTGTGTTACGAGTGGGTGGGTAAATGTACAAGAGTCCTTTGAGCTGGTGATCCTGGAAGAGCTCGGGGGTCGTGTTTTCCCCAACTACTCCCTCCTTTGATACTAGTATACAACTCCTTTTCTTTAAACCTTTAGGCCATGTTTCAATCATGTAATGTAATGTAATGAGCATTACATGTTGATTTGATTACGATGTTTGGTATGTCATTTTTATTTTAAACCATAATTTAATGATCATTCCACATGTGGAACTCATTATTTGATATGTTTGATAAGTATTACATTAAACAAGATGTGCATTTGAGATTACAACTTATACCACGTAGGGGTGGACCGGCCCGGCCCGGGACGGGATTGGGCGGGACTAAAAGTTTGGGTTGCAGGCCCGGTACCGGCCCGGGTTTGTACCGGGACCAGGCCGGACATTTTTTTTTTAAATTTGTTTTTTCGAATTTTATTCCTCCCCCACCCCCAGCCCCACCCACCTAGCAGCCAATCAATGTTTTTTTTTTAAAAAAATTGGGGCCGCAGTCCCGACACACGCACACGCACACCCGCGCAAACTCACACGCACGCGCACACACACGTGCACACATGCTAGCACAAAGATACACGAGCACACGCGCACACACGCGCACACACGCGCGCGCGCGCACACACGCACACACGCGCGCGCACACACACACGAATATATGGTTCTAATTCTCATGTAGATAATTTAAACAAACATAATTATGTGATGTTGATTACAATTCAAAGTTGTTACTTAAGTAACCAAACATAGTAATGGAATAGAGACTTCATTCCATTACATTACATTTTGTATTGCATTGCATTACATCATACCAAACACAACCTTAATAAATTGGATTGGGATGGAAAGACTCCTTTCTGCGTCTCTTAAAACTTTATCATACTGAACGAGAAGAAAAATAATACTTGTAAAGTAAAATTGTGTGTTGAGATTTGTACTGGCAGAGAAATAATAATAACCGCAAATTAATTGATTAAAAAGGAAAATACCAAAATTTTCGAGCCAGTTCAAAAAGGAAAGATTATAAAATTTTAAGGAACGAGGAATATAATTTACACAACTACAAGTTGGTTGGGTAAGGATGTTTTTATTTAGACTAATTTTTTTGGTGTGATATGATCTGGTCTGGTGTGAAATACTTTGGTGCGATTCGATAGATGTATGATCTTTGTGTTTTATAACTGTCCAAATATGATCTGGTCTGATCCGATCTATTATGATCATATCTGCATATAATCTGGTCTCAATTAAAAACATCTTAATTTTACAAATTTAAAATAAAATGCTCCGTACAAAGTACAAACTAGATAAAAACAATTTTGTGTGTTTCGCGTAGAGCAGGTGGGGCCATGAGCATGGGACGTGGGTTTGAATATGGGGCCGGGAACATCGTTTTTCCCATTTGCCACCCAAATTCTTCCGCTCGTTGGAACCACTGAACCAGGATCCTGCCACCGCTCTTCATCCACGAGGCGTATTATTATTATTATTATTATTATTCGAAATAAACTTCGTCGGAGTTTCAATGGAAGCAATTAAAAGGCAAGCATCGTGGCTCAGGGAACAGGTTGCTCGCCAACAGCAAGTACGATATCACTCCGACTCGCTTTCTCCTCACTACTAATCGTCAATTTGTATATGCATGTGCCTTTGTGTTGCAATCCGATTGTTGCCCACATGGCCGTGTTTATCTTATTCTAATTGCTTTATGTTTTTCGTTATCTGCTGATGTCTTTTCCATGCAAATTTGCCTATTGTTTTGCCGTTTATTTGTTTTATGTATTTAGTTTATGCATTTTTGCCGAGTTCGAATCACCATGTATCAACGCGGCCTCATTTAATTTTCAGGGTTCTACTACAATTTCGATTTTTATTAGTTCTTTCCCAGGATGTGCATATTAGCATATACTCCCTCCGTCCCAAAAACAACTTCCCACTCACTATTCATTGGTCAACTTGAATCACTCGTAATCTTTTACTTTTTATATCAAATTTTTATCAAATTTAAATTTTATTGATCAGGCTTTGTAGCGGTTTTAATGTAGTTTCTGAATATGTAAATTTTATTTACTAAAAATAATCCGAGTGTGAGCAGGGATCGAGTTGCTTTATCGTCAGTCAAGCATCGTAAACCGAACGGGAAGTTAATTTTGGGACGGAGGGAGTATATGGCTTATTGGCTGTTTGCCTGTCTTTCTCTTTTGTACTTTGGTGATGGTAGCTCTTAAAGTAGGGATTGCATTGGAGCTCAGTGACCACTTTGTTAATGTTGTGATCAGGGGCGGAGCCAGGGTCCGGACTGGGCCGTACAAAGAATATTTTTGGGGAAAAATTTACACGGAACTTTTAACTTAATAATAAACCATTTTTTAAATTTGGAGTGGGCCAGGGCCTAGGTTGGCCCTCCCCTAGCTCCGCCCCCTGGTTGTGATGCTTTATGTACAGTCATTATGAAGTTTGTCTGCCCATATTTGGGCGCACCAATCTGCATTCCGTTTGATTGATCTTTTTTCTTGCAATATGGGGCTGGGATTGGAGTTGGTGATTTTATGATAGTTAATGTTTTGATATTTCTTATTTTTATTTTCTGAGTTTTGTTATAGGCTGTTCTCAAGCAATTTGGAGCTGGTGGGTATGGAGGATCGGATTATATTGTGACTGATGAAGCCGAACTCTTACAGTATCAGAAACTGGAAATGCTTTATATATCCACCAGGGCTGCTAAGGTTTGTTGCATCATATAGATAAAGTAACTCTTTGTTGGCTATATTGTGTCTTTAATCTGCGTCTCTGATTTAGATCTCCTCACTTTATTGCTTCACCCTTCCGATTTTTGGATTATTAGCTAAATATATCCTCAACTATAATCAAATTCACAAATCTATCTTATACTTTCACTATTATTTAGAAAAGACTCAAACTTCAACTATTTTCGCAATTGCATTTTCAATGAATGAATTAGTAAAACTTAAGAGGAAAATCATATTTATATTTCATAGTAGTATTTTTCACTTCTTTCTAGTTTTGAGTTTACAAACTTGTATTGCTTATATCTTATTAGTATTGATAAAAATGTGTAATTTTGAAAAAACAAAAAAGAGAAGCATAATTCTTGAAAGATATAAAGCTTGAGTCTTTTTTGGATAAAAGTGAAAGAATAGGATAGATTTTTTAATTTGGTGATAGTTTGGGATAAAATAAGTCAATAATCCTTGATTTTTTATATTTAAATAACATTTCCTGCCATTGCCATTTCAGCATTTACAAAGGGATATTGTTCGTGGAGTCGAAGGCTACATCTTTACTGGGTCCAAGCAAGTTGAGATAGGTTATTTTTCAAATCTTCAGTGTCTTTGTTTAAATTCACTAGTAGAGGGATCACATGGTCATAGGTGAAATGGTTTCCCTAACAGGAACTAAGCTATCGGAAGACAGCAAGAAATATGGGTCTGGCAACACATGTACTAACCATATTACGTTATCAAGAGCTGCGTTGTGTTTTTCACAAGCTCGTGCTCACATGGAGCAGGAACGCGGAAATCTTTTGAAATCCCTTGGCACACAGGTTATTTAATATATGTATATCACTATTTTTATCAAGTTCCAATACAATTCCTCTTTTTAATAATAAACACATTATGTCCAAACACGGCCTTTTTGGGATGGAGAGTGCAAAAGATTTGAAAGGGAGCATTGGCACATCGTTTAAAGTTTTTCTATGTGATCAAGAGGTCACGAGTTCAAGTTTTGGGAGTGGCCTCATCAAGGGAAGACTTTCCCCCTAAGGCTCGATGGGACCCTTCCCCGGACCCTTGCTTTGCAGGGGCACCAACGTGAACCGTGCTGCTCTTTAGAGTTTAAAAGATTCCCAATGTTGTAAAAGCTTATGATAAGAGTTGAATTTACTGATTTGAATGAATTTGCTTGAGAGAAACTACTCTCAGCTGATCTTTATTTATAAGGTTCAGAATTACAACTTACAAGGAAAGAATCAAATGTACATCTATCAATTACTAACTGCTGATTTGATACAATCTGTACATTAAATGCTAAAATCAGGAAGGATATTATTTATAATCATATCAAATCTCAACACTCCCCCTCAAGCTGGTGCATAGATATCATATGCATCAAGCTTGTCACAAATATATCTTATCCTCGGACTGCGGAGTGACTTAGTGAGAAAGTCAGCTAACTGATTATTTGAATTGACAAACGATGTGAAGATTTCTCCAGAAATGACCCTTTCACGGATAAAATGACAATCGATTTCTATATGTTTTGTTCGTTCGTGAAAGACAGGGTTAGAAGCGATGTATAAAGCTGCCTGGTTATCACAGATCAGTTTCATAGGCTTCAGTTTGCAAAACTTTAACTCAGATAATAATTGTTTCAACCATATAAGTTCGCAAGTGGTGAGAGCCATGGCTCGATACTCTGCTTCAGCACTTGATCTAGCAATGACACTCTGTTTCTTGCTCTTCCAGGATATTAGGTTTCCACCAATGAGAACACAGTACCCTGAAGTTGATCTCCTATCGTTTGGACAGCCAGCCCAATCCGCATCTGAATACGCAGTAATATTGTCATAACCCCGGTTTGCATAAACCAGTCCTCTTCCAGGTGAACCTTTGATGTATCTTAGGATTCGAACGACTGCATCCCAATGACTATCACATGGCGTGTTGAGGAACTGACTAACCACGCTCACAGCAAAGGAGATGTCTGGTCTGGTCATAGTGAGATAATTTAACTTTCCCACAAGTCGTCGATATCTTTCAGGATTGGAGATAGGCTCTCCCTGATCTGGCAGAAGTCGAACATTTGGATCAATTGGAGTATCAATCGGCTTACAATCTGTCATCCCGGTTTCCTTCAAAATATCAAGTGCATATTTTCTTTGGGATATGGCAATGCCAGTTTTGGATTGAGCTACCTCAATTCCAAGAAAGTAACGAAGTCGTCCCAAGTCTTTTGTTTGAAATTGTTGGGACAAGTATAGTTTAAGATTCTGTATGCCATCATGATCATCCCCTGTTATTACAATATCATCAACATAAACAACAAGGTAAGTAGACTGATTAGATAAAGATCTTTTATAAAACACAGTGTGGTCTGCTTTGCATTGAATCATCCCAAACTGTTTGAGAGCTGTACTGAATCTGCCAAACCACGCTCGTGGGGATTGTTTAAGACCATACAAGGCCTTATGCAACCGACACACATATCTACACTCCCCCTGAGCAACAAACCCAGGTGGTTGCTCCATGTAAACTTCTTCTTTTAAATTACCGTGAAGAAATGCATTTTTTATGTCCAACTGATGTAAGGGCCAGTTACGCATAGCTGCCATGGATAAGAACAAATGTACAGAAGCCATCTTTGCAACAGGAGAAAAAGTGTCACCATAATCCAAGCCAAACACTTGTGTAAACCCTTTAGCAACCAAACGCGCTTTCAGCCGGTCAACTTGTCCATTAGGACCAACTTTGATTGTAAATACCCATCGACAACCAACAGTAGATTTACCATGGGGCAGGGGAACAAGAGACCAAGTACGATTTATTTCGAGGGCAGCCATCTCATCAAGCATAGCTTGACGCCATCCTGGGTGGGCAAGAGCTTCCTGGACAGTTTTAGGAATGGAAACAGAAGAGATGGAAGACACAAAAGCGTAATGGGAAGGCGATATACGATGATAACTTAGACAGTTGTAAATAGGATGCGGGTTCCGAGTGGAACGTATACCTTTTCCGGTTGCAATTGGAAGATCAGGTTGAGTCGGTGCCTCAGGTTGGTCCGGAGTAGGTAAAGGAGCTGGAGCTGGATCAGCAGGGTCAGTATTAGGGACATCCTCATTAGGTGCAGACCGCGGTCGACGCTGATAAGTAATGACTGGTTTGGTAGAAGACAATGGAGGATTGAGAGGTGACAATGGAGTAAGATGAGGAATGGGTAAGACCTGAGAGACATATTCGACTTCCATTGGTGAAGTGAAATACGGTTGATCTTCAAAGAAACTGACATCTGCAGAAGTATAGAAACGATGAGTAGAAGGTGAATAGCAACGGTACCCTTTTTGGACTCTAGAGTAGCCAAGGAATATGCACTTGATTGCTCGTGGAGATAATTTGTCAAGGCCAGGGGAAAGATCCTGCACGAAACAAGTACAACCAAAGACTTTGGGAGGAACAAGGAAAATGGGGTCTTTTGGGAACAAGATAGAGTGCGGTACTTTGTTATCCAATGTAGAAGATGGCATTCGATTGATTAAATGAGCAGCTGTGAGTACAGCATCTCCCCAGAATTTTAGTGGGGCATTGGCATGAACAAGTAGTGTGCGTGCTGTTTCAATGATATGGCGATGCTTTCTTTCAGCAATCCCATTTTGCTGAGGCGTGTGGGGACATGTGGATTGATGAATTATCCCTTGAGTAGCCATATATTCATTGAAATTTGTTGAGAAATATTCCTTGGCATTATCACTACGTAGAACACGAATGGTATGATCAAACCGATTTTTTATTTCATTGCAGAAACTTTTGAAAATACCAAATAACTCTGAACGTTCTTTCATTAAATAAAGCCATGTACATCTTGAAAAATCATCAACAAAGATAACGAAGTACCGAAATCCTAAAACAGAACTGACACGACTTGGACCCCAAACATCTGAGTGAACAAGATAAAAGGGAGATTCTGCATGACTATGACTTTTTGGGAAAGTGGTTCGAACATGTTTACCAATTTGACATGACTCACAGGCTAAGGACTGTAAATTGGAGATTTGAGGTACCATTCTCCTCAATTTATTGAGACTAGGATGACCTAAACGTTGGTGAAGCAAAGAAGGAGACTCCATAGCAGTGCAAGCAACTGAAGAGGAAGGGGGAGTATGAAAGTAGTATAGACCCTGAGATTCAAATCCGGCTCCAATCGTCTGTCCCGTACTCCGGTCTTGTATAGAAAAAGAGTTATCAATAAAGGTGACAACACAATTATGACGACGTGTCAGTTGACTGATAGAAACCAAGTTGAATGGACAACCAGGGATAAAAAGAACAGAATTAAGAGATAAAGAAGGATGGAGTGTGGCCTGTCCAACGCCAATGGCTTTAACTTTTGAACCATCAGCAAGTGTGACATGGTGTGCTGATTTAGGTTGAGATAACTTTGAGAAAAGAGAAGGATTACCGACAATGTGATCAGAGGCACCAGAATCTATGATCCAAGATTTGGCAGGTCCTGATTGAGAAAGGTAAGCTGTAGAATTACCGGTAAAGTTGACTGCTGCAGGAGACATGACGTACACTGACTCGGGAACAATCTGGAATGATTAGGACTTCTATTCCTAGTGCCGGCAGACCAGTCTCGATGAAGGTTGGCTGCAGGGACGACTAGGGAAAGTGAGGATCAGGCTTTGATACCAAGTTGAATTTACTGATTTGAATGAATTTGCTTGAGAGAAACTACTCTCAGCTGATCTTTATTTATAAGGTTCAGAATTACAACTTACAAGGAAAGAATCAAATGTACATCTATCAATTACTAACTGCTGATTTGATACAATCTGTACATTAAATGCTAAAATCAGGAAGGATATTATTTATAATCATATCAAATCTCAACAATAAGTAGTTAGAGACGCTGAAGTTGATCTCTTTCATTCTTTCAAGCTATTTTTTCCTTATAAGATACCCTTTCGGGTGCTTGGGTATAAAAGGAACAACTCAAGCTAAATGATTTTGGGATCGCACTGTGTCTTTGACAACTTAGCAATGCACCATCATGAAAATTTTAATTCCATAAAACTTTGATGTTTTGCTTTTCACTTTTTCGTTTTGAGGTGTGGGTTCAACTTTTACTATATTATTAATAAAAACGTTTTTTTGAACTGTTATCCCTTTGTTGTAAAAAATACGGAGTATTTGTTTTCTTTCCCTGTAAACATTCTTTATTTTTTGTTAATCCAGTGTATCTGGAAAAAGTTGAGACAAAATAACTTTGAATAATAACAACTATCACTTGTCTACCAACAATAATACGTACTATGAAAATATTTATCTCATACCCCAACTATTCAAATACGGAGTACTTCATATATAATAATATAAAACGGAGTCACTTTCCAACATCTAATCCGGTAATTCAAGTCATCCAAAACTGGTAGTAAACCTCCAAACAAAGCTTGATTGATGGTTGAAATGTTTAATATCATTTTGTGATAAATAAAGTGACCAAAATTTATGTTAGAAATATCTTCATATCACTTTTTTAAATACTTAAATAGTTGCGTTATAAATAGTTATTTCTAAAGTATCAAGTATGTATTAGTATTGGTTGATCGGTGATAGTTGTTATTATTTAAAGTTATTTTCCCATAATTAATAGTTGGTTGGTGCCTTCTTTATCAGGTTGCAGAGCCATTGAGAGCTATGGTAATGGGTGCTCCATTGGAAGATGCACGACATCTGGCTCAAAAGTATGACCGGATGCGCCAAGAGATAGAAGCACAGGTATTCAAATGAAAATTTTTAAATATGCTATTTTCTGGTTTTTGGATGTTATTTTGTCTCATTCAATTAGATTAGAGACTGTTTCCTTTTAAAGTAAATGTATTTAGTCCACAAGTGTCAAGCCTCAGCTCTCCTCTCTACACTGTCGATGCACACAACCGCACAAGGTGGTGAATTTTGTAATTCTCTCTCTGTGGGTTCCCATCCTGCTCCAACTCTAAAGGTCCTATTGGAGCACGGGGAATTCTACAGAAAGGAAATACGAGGGAAAATGAGGTGAAAATGGGAAGGGAAATAAGTGTTGGAAAATAAGACAGGTCTTATAAGTTCAAAGAGTTTTATTTATATTTCTGTTTAGACTTATTATTTATTTATTTCTATTATATTAGAATTAAAAAATCTAAATATATATTAGTATATGTTTTTTACAAAACATTTAGCTTATTCCATTTTCCTTTGTGTTTTGTGAGGTAATACCAAACATAAGAAATAAATTGTCTTGTCATTTCCCTCCTTTAGATAGCATTTTCCAGGATTCAAACACACCCTCAAAAAATTGCTGGCCATGTTCCAAACATACCCACATAAGATTAAGAAATAACTTGCCTTATCATTTCCGCCTTTTGTATCAAAACATACCCTTATGTATTTTACCTGAGCGTTTTTCTCTAAGTGGTCCTTTTGCAAATTCATGGTTATCAGGATTTCTATTGGTATTGTTGTGTCTACTACTTTTACCAGCTATTGATTGTTGGATGACAAAATTTTGGCTACATAATCTTTAATTTTAGCATGCATATAACCTAGATAGACTCTTGAAGTATCCAAACGACAAGCAAAATTGAGGGATGTAATAGGCAATCATGACATGGAGATGAAGCTGGAAGCAGCAGAAGCAAAACTGCAAGATCTGAAATCTAATATGACTATACTGGGAAAGGAAGCTGCTTCTGCTCTGACCGCTGTCGAAGCACAACAGCAGAGGCTTACACTCCACCGGCTAATTGACATGGTAGAAAATTGTGTTGTCTACTTGAAGTTAGCAAAATATGCTTAACAAATAAAAGTAGTTGACATTAGTTTTGCTATTTCTGTTAGGTTGAATTAGAACGTGCTTACCATCTTAGAGTTCTTCAGATACTTGAACATTTAGAAGGCGAGGTATTGGCGTATTGCTTCTATCATTTTTCTATTGAACTTTGTAAGGTTATAATGAAGCTGATCGCCTTTTTTGGCTATTCAGATGAAATTAGAGCGTGAAAGAATTGAAGAATCTCCTAGTGTAGATAGTGTTCCTCCACCTCCATCATATGAAGAAGTTAACAGTGTACCTACTTCTCCTATGCAAAATGGGCCCACTGACAGCATGGGATACTTTCTTGGGGAAGTAAGTTTTCCATAACATTTTTGTTTTCTCTTCCTATTGGATTTGAGTGAAGAAATTTAAGGCACTATAGTGAGTGCTTACAGTGTTTGATTGCATTGCAAAAAGTTGATGCTGGTATTGTTTTCTTTGAGAATCTGTCTTTCTAAAATTAAGTTGGTGTATGTGCAATAAAATGTTTAACCTACAAATACAGAAAAAAATGGATCTGCTAATGGAAATGTCCCCTCTTTTCAGAAGAGGGTGTTATTTTCCACAAACTCCAGGGTGTATTTGGCTCCCTGAAAATGATAGGGCAAGAGGAAAGAAGCTAAGAATTTACTTTCCTATATTTGGTCTTAACCTTGGAAACAAATATGAAAACGATAATCTGCATATGATAATTTTTTCTTAAAATCCTGCATGTATTTAGATTGCTTATATAATAAAAAAACTAATAAATTAAGTTCGATCAAACATCTGAAATACGCTTAGTGAGTCTAGGCTTTTCTTTATTTTTCACTCAAATTTTATGCTCTTCAAAATTTTGTGTCCGTTTTTATTCACTTTCGTTTTTCGTGATCCAAACATATGCCCTAAAGGATCTAACGAAAATATTTTCGAGGGCCAACACATGAACGTTTGGAAATAAACAGAGCCTTAATCTCTTATTTTCCGCTTTGCTGTTAGGTGATGTATTCATATCACGCCGAGTCTGATGCGGAGCTTAATTTATCAGTTGGAGATTGCATTGTTATACGAAAGGTTATAAGTCTCCTGTACTCTTATATTCCAGTTCATCACTAGAAGGCCACATATATGATTGGTCATATTTTCATAATTTGAGAAATTGAATACTAATGGTTAGATACATCGTCAGGTTTCAAATAATGGTTGGGCAGAAGGTGAATGCAAGGGTAAAGCTGGATGGTTCCCTTTCAGCTATGTAGAAAGAAGAGAGCGAGTTCTTGCGAGCAAGGTCATTCAAGCTTTCTAATGTCTAGGCTTTGTACCTTTAACGGGTAATCATGTTGCTCATGCCAGAGAATATTTATAGATAATAAAAATATATTTCTCATTCTTTTTTTTTTTGTGGTTATATATTATCATTCTTTTAGGGGGGGGGGGGGGGGGGGGGGGGTAAAGATTAGACATGATGTGTCGGATACAAGCTATGTAAAATGGGTTGTAATTCTTAAGAGGTGGATTGTGCAATAGATTGTAATATTGAGGCTTAACCGTGGTAGAAAAGAGTTTTGCAGGTAAAATATAATGAAGTCCACTCTTGGAATTAACTCATTCAAGTCACTTTTTCTTCTTACCGATTAAAAGTATTGTCACTTGAAAATGAGAAAAAAAGTGTACATTGTACATTTTGGTCAATATTGCTTCTTAAATGAACATGTCATGACATTTGTACCTTTATTTTATCATTTCCTTTAATTTTCATCAAGTTAATCTAATTCAGTCATATCAAAAAATCAATTCCGTCAAATTAAAGATGTAGATTGATGCTCTGACCAACCTTCTAAAATTAAAATGGAGGGTGTTATGATCTAAGACTTATGACCAATATTTCATTTCCTCATAAGTTGTGAGATTTTTAAGGTTTTTTTTAGAGGAACCTATACATAATATGGATTATATGATTACATTTTCAATCTATTGCAAAATTAGCTTATCATAAAGATATCGGCCTGTAGCTTATGATTTATAACGATTCTTTTTATTGATATTTCTATGAGCAGTTATTTTGAGTGAGTTTCATCTGCAGCTGGATGTAATTTCATTAGTTCATTAACAATGAGAAGAAATAGTGACAAGATTTTTCACGCCTCAAATTCCGGAACTTAATATGATTAATATTCAATTATTTGTTGAATGAAGTTTATCACTTTCGAGCTAACTTCACATTGTTATGTTTTTTCAGTAATTCAATCATCAATAATCATTGACAATTTTTTGAGTGATTTGTGCAATTTGAGTTTTGAACTCATTTCATTTTTGAATAGTTAACTAACATCCCAAAATTGTAGCTACTTTGGAGTGGTTATATTAGTTATGTTTGTTCTAAATATTCACAAGATGAGAAACTTTGAAGTTTGAGTATGAAAAGACGAAGGTTAGGGGTGGACTCGGGCTGGGCGGCCCGAACCGGAACCGGCCCGGCCCGATCACTGTTTGAACCGGCCCGGCCCGATCACTGTTTGAACCGGCCCGGCCCGGCGGCCCGGCCCATGGGCGGTTCGGGTTGACCCGGCCCAGTGGCTACTGGTTCCGGGCTCAGGCCTTCATTTTGGTGAACCGGCCCGGCCAGTTCGGGCCCGGTCTGGGCCGGATTTATTTTTTTTTTTTATTTTTTTTTTAAGTTTTTGGGTTGGATCGGGTATTTTGGACCATTTGAGGTGGTTTGGGGTGGTTTGGGGTTGAGGGGGAGGGTAGGGGGTTGATTAGGAAAACCCAAAAAACAAAAATTATATAGAACTGAACCGGGCCCGGCCCGAACCGGACCCGGGGGTTACCCGGGCAGGTTCCGGGCCTCCCCTACCTTGAACTGAGGCCCGGCCGGTTCAAGGCCCGGCCGGTTCAAGGCCCGGCCGGTTCAAGGCCCGAACCGGGCCCGGCCCGAACCGAGTCCACCCTTAACGAAGGTTGAAATATCGCAAAAAAATGTTGTAAGGAAATCTTCAACTGTTTGTAATGTGCGTACTAATTAAATTTGTGAGAGTACTTTCCGATTTGACTTGGATTATAGTTTAAGAAATTGGGAATAAAGTGTGAATGTATGGTTGTGTTTAACTAGCAATAAGATAAATTAATGTTAGCCACACAAAATTTTCCTTAAATATTACTAAAAAATGTTATGGACAGAAATGTGACTTAGTAACTATTATTGACTATAATTGTGTTCAGAGTTTACATCACAGTAACTTACATTTAGTTACTACGATGTAAATTTTGAACACAATTGTAGTCACTAATAGTTAATAAGTAATATATATTTGTCCATCACATTTTAAAGAGTAATATTTATGGAATTATTTTGAAATTTAAGGGATGAAGGGAGTAATTGTTATTGTTTTCTTATAATTTCACTCATTTATACGATAATTTGTACTACATACTTTATTTTTATATACAAATTTGTAAATGCATAATATATTTAGATTTACATTGTTTACAAATTGCATCCCGTGCAACGCACGGGTGAGATACTAGTCTTTATATATATAAAAAGGGGACCGTCTGTCCCCTAACTGTTCCCACCTAGGGAATTTACGTGCTCATTAATTAACGGCTGCTTCTAATTTCTAATTTTGGTAACTATTGGGCGATATTTGCAAATTGTAACAGCCACGTCGTTTTAAATCAGTTACGTAGTACTCAGTATTTAACTGCTTGCCCTCCTTTAATCATTCTTTTGTTCTCCGCAGTATTATGGCCTTTATGGGTAAGTTCATTCTCGATCTTATTCAAATTATTTCGAGTACATTTATTATCATTGAATCACATGTATAATTTCATTTGTTTATCAATGAGATGAATAACTCCAATAGAAATGGGGTTTGAAGCTTTGCTTTTCCATGAGCAATAGAAGTACCCTCCAAAAAAAGGATGTCAAATATAATATGTATAATGTAGTACTACGTATGAAATAGATGTATCTTCATAGAATCACATACAGGTACGCATTTACCATTTGATCATGACATGTTAAAAATAAGATTTTTCAAATCTGATGCGTGATGTGGGTCTTATATATGATGATACATCATTGACAGTAAGGTTGTAAATTTGTAATAGTGTAAATGTGTAAGTTCTGATCATCTGATGCATAGACGTGGATGGTTAAAAATCCATAAATACTGTAATTTATTCTTAAAAGTATGATTTATAAGATACTGAGTAGTATAATACGTAGTATAACAGTCAAACCACAACAAAACACAATAATATGATTTCTATGGGATAAAGAGAGTAATAATATGTAATTTCTTGATTGTTCCTCCCAAAATAACCAGATAATGTGATTCATCTTCCCTCCCTCCACACGCCTTATAATTTAGAATTGGCAGTGAATGAAATTAAAACAGATGAGTTATTTTCATCTTAGGAACAACGTGGCTTTAAACTTTTAATCCCATTACTATTTTTTATGCAAAAGTGCGAGGAGTGGAGGACTGAAAGTCTGCCAGTATGGAATGAGTTAGTTAATTGATAACATATGTACTTTAAAGGGTGGACAAAACCATATTCAAATTAAGGGAAATATAATTCGAATTTACGGTGGAGCATGCTTCTTGATAATTGGGAATATATTTAACTAATAATTCTAACTACTTTGAAATAATCACGCAAAAAATATAAACACATTATTGTCCCGTGCATCGCACGGGTACAAATACTAGTAGAGAAAAGCATGATGCATTGATGCTCGTCGAAGCACTTGAGCAAGGGAGCAGACGACATATTCCTTTCAATTTGCTTGCTTATAGGGATTTATGGCAATTTATATATAGCTTAGTAGCCTCAAATCTTTAACGAAGAAAACCAATGAAAGAACATTCTGGCTACTATACCCTCACCGGATGGGATTCTTTCTTCTCCAACTATAGATGACTATTACAGTAGAATCAGTTGTTTGTTGCGTTCTTGTGAATGCCGATCAAAGGATGAGACGACGTAATAGCTATAGGAAGAAATATGAAAGGGGTAAGATTTGTCCAACACTCCAAAACACCAATTTGGGGTGTTAAAAAGGTCACTTATTGAGGTGTTAGGGAGGTTTCTGTTAAGACCCGAGGTTCCATACTAAAAGGTCAACCTGATAGGAGTAGTAGTCCAAAGCCTTTTATAGTGTTTAATTGTTTTATAGCTTTCCGGTGTGGGACAAATGCTTCAACACGCCTCTCAGCTCGAACCGGCCGGGCTGGACAATATCGGGGTGTATAAACGGTCCAAACAAACTCTTAACAAGTTACCCTTAATCGTGGGTGCTAAACAAGTCGTCAAACCACAACTGGAATTGGCTCTGATACCATGTTAAGGCACGAGGTTCCATCCTAAAAGGTCAACCTGATAGGAGGAGTAGCCCAAAGCCTTATATAGTGTTTAATTGTTTTATAGCTTTCCGGTGTGGGACAAATGCTTCAACAGTTTCCCCCAACACTTTTAAACACTTACTAACACTCCAATGTTTTTTTAAAAAATTTCACAAACAAGTGTTAAGACCAACACCCCTGAACACTTCCGTTGCTAACACCCTTCAACACTCAATCCAAACATGCCGTAAGGGGAGACGTACAGGTGATTTGAGTAGGAAAGGTTGTGTTAACGGGAGGATGACGGCCGTTTGGTGAGGGAAACAAAAGCGAGTACACTTGGTGAAATCGTAAGTACATATAGACAAAACTATGATATTATACTAACAAATTTTCCTACCTAAAATAGCCTTACTCTCATTGGTGCTTATACGTTTTTAGAGATTCCGGGACGCTGGCGATGGTATCGGGCTTGTGTATGAGCGCAACGAAGCAACTTCTTAGCCCCTAGCCTGATCAATCGGGGTTGAAGGTGATGGAATGTAAGGGGAGAAACAGAGGTGATTTGAGTGGGAGAGGTTGTGTTAACGGGAGGGTGTCACCCGTTTGGCGAGGGAAACAAAAGTGAGCGAGTACACTTGGTGAAGCCTTAAGTACATATAGACAAAAGTATGATATTACACTAACAAGTTTTTCATACCTAAAATAGCATTAGTCTCATTGGTGTTTATAAGTTTTAAGAGATATAGATTAGAATTAAAGTGTGATAGAATGGGTGCTCCATCGAGATCGATACTGGCCTGGAATTCCAGAAACAACAACAAACCAAAGAAATTAAACACACTAGTTTTTAACCCGTGCGTTGCACGGGAAAACATTTCATCGAGAATGTAAAGATCTGAATTGAATGATAATAGAAATATAATTTAAACATTCGAAGCATAAGTGAAATGACATATGGAAAAACGTATAAATTGTTATACACTTCTTTGTAAACAACATTTATAGCAGTATTGCTTGGTTGACCATCATCGTCACATATGACAAATTTTAACCCTGATGGACTTGTAACTCTCGATACCGCAACGTATAATTGTCCGTGAGTAAAAACCGGACGCCGCAAAAATACACCAACTCTTTCTAACGACTGTCCCTGACTCTTATTAATCGTCATCGCATAACTAAGCATAAGAGGAAATTGCCTGCGCTGAAACGTGAAAGGGAGCTTCAAGTCCGAAGGCGTTAAACTAATTAAGTCGGGGAATAAGATACGTTTCTCCAGCATTTGATCCTGACATCATCTGAGTCTCAATAATATGAGTCCCGAGTTTAGTTACCATGAGTCGCGTACCATTGCATAACCCAACAGTGTGATCTATGTTTCTCATAAGCATCACAGGCACACCCACCTTAAGCTTGAGTTCATGACTTGGCACACCAGAACATTTGATGCTATTAAGAAATTCCGGGGAATGAATGTCTTGAAGGAGCTCGCTATCTGAGTCAGAGGAAGATGCTGAATCACAACTTAAGTATGTCATTTCCTCGCCTGGAATGAGCCCCAACATGTAATCATTGATCTTGTCTCTCTCATCAATCGTAGGCGCAAGAATGGCCCTAGAGTTCAGATATGATATGTCTTCCCTATGAGTCAAGAAATCTGGATACGTACTATTAACAATAGACTCAATGGGATCATCCGTCATCGGAGCAAGAAATTCGGCAGGTATGTGGACTTTAGATTCCCCATCCTCATCGTCTCCCAAAATACCATCGCCTATCTTCAAAATCCAATCTGCGAAGCGCTCTATGTCAGCTGCGCTGGATGATTCGGTCACGTGTGCAAGCCTCATGTTCCTTGTCAGCTTCAACACCCTACAATATGACCACAAATACGATGAATTTAAAGACGCTTGTACAATATCTTGCCGCGTGCCTTTTGGAATGACCGGCAATATCTGTCGAAAGTCCCCGCCAAATACAATAGTTTTTCCACCAAAAGGCACGGCACCATCACACTCCGGTGAGAAGCAAAGGACATCTCTCATTGTGCGCTCTAGAGCTTCAAAACAGTGCTTATGCGTCATTGGAGACTCATCCCAAATAATTAGTCGTGTCTGTTCAAGAAGCCTGGCCAAGGGACTACCGTGTTTTATGTTGCACGTCGAGTCCTCCGTCACATTAAGTGGAATAGCAAACCTCGAGTGTGCGGTCCTTCCTCCAGGAAGAAGGAGTGACGCAATACCGCTGGATGCCACATTCAATACTATTTCTCCTCGTGATCTAATTGCCGCAGACAAAGTCCTCCACAAATAAGTCTTTCCCGTGCCACCATGTCCATATAAGAAAAACACACCGCCACATTTGCGGTCGACAGATTCCATGATTATTTCGTAAACAGCTCGTTGTTCATCTGTCATATCCTTCAACAACTTTTGATGTTCTTCAGCCATCACACACTTATCGTACTTCAATTCTTCATGAATGAGAATGTCCTCCATGGAGGGGATATAAGAATCGGGGGGCACTGGCATTCCGACGTAGTCACACAGTGATTTTCCTCTTTGCTGGAGAAGCTTCTCAATCTCCACTAAACAGTACTTCTGAATTTCTCCTTTGTCTAGTTCCAACTCTTCAGAAGATATGACACACGTATTTCAATGTAATTATGAGTCAAAGAATATGAATTAGAAATAATTGTTAACCACAAAAGAACATTAAATTATTACGACTAATATAAACGTGTACCTTGATCATGAAGGTTCTTCCTCACATTGTATAATATGTCTTCCGAAAAATACTCCCAACACTTTTCCCACACCGATTCAGGCTTAGTCATCGATCCCTGCAGTAAAAGAGTAACAAACAAATGGCGTAGCCATCGAGCCATTGCTGAATGACTTGACTCTGTAATGCCATCTATGTACTCCTTGTCATCTCCCTGTAACCCGCGAGCATAACAGGCATCCCTAAATGTGTCATATATCTTTCCATCCACGGTTCGCAACTCTTCAAAACTTCTTGGCCCTTTTACTACATTCAGCAGAACTCGCAAATAGTACTTCTCACCTGCTCCGGGACGCACAAAGAACACACGCCCAACCGCAAACCCCTTTTTCCGCGGTGACCACTCCCTTTTCTTTTTGTTCCACGTGAACTTAGATGGAAAGTCAACGTATGTCAACTCCCTGGCCTCCTGATAAAGTTGGTTTGCTCTCATCCAAGCTATAAACTTCGTAGAGTGAAGAGTGGTGTTACTTAGTACTGACTCAATGGATGCATCAGGTTTGTAGTATACATTTTGCTCTCCTGGTAAATGAAAGCTTAACCGCTCAACGGGAACATCCCTGTAATGGATATGGTATGAAAAAATTCTCCATGCAGCCTCACAAGCGGAGATGTATCGACAGTCATAGTACATCTTGATCTCATCGATCTTTTGTGGTTTGGTGCTGTCAGTAGCTTCTGAAAATGCAACAGTTATCCGATCATCGCCTTTATTTATATACTTGAAAAGATACTTGACTGACCGTGATTGATTACACCACTCCACATTGATGTGTGCTCCATACTTGAGAAGCAAAGTACGATTATGTGGGATCACATATCTATTGTCCATAGGATAACCATTTTTCTCAACAGACCTTCCATTGTTTCTCCTCCTGTATTTTGGGTAACCACTCTTATCAATGGTTGTCCGTTGGGAGAATTTTTTAGGAAAATGCTTCGTGCAATGCCCTTTATCCATACACGGTGAAGACATGTTCATCTGCCCACATGGCCCATGAATCATCAATTCTTTGACTGCATTATAGTAAGCGGGATCAGAGTTTTCATCAGGTATCTCTGCAGATATTATTCTGTCTATATCTGCGGAAAATACATTCCTCTGCCTTTGTGAAATCCATAGAACGATATGAGCATGAGGCAATCCACGTTTTTGAAACTCTACGGTGTACACAACTGCAAATATTAAAGTAATTCTAACATTAAATAATGTTGTATTTGCATGTGGTAAAAAAAACTATATAATGAAACAAAGAAAGGATTCCCAAGATGAAAATTTGTGAAAAACATTAATTACCTGCCCGCACGTTGCCAAACATCTTATTTTGTTTCAAATCCTTGATGAGTAGATCGAGTTTCATTTTGAATATCCTAGAAAGTATATCAGGTCTATCATCAGGACTCAGTCCTCTTGGTTCCACAAAACGGAGAATTTCAGGCCATTTTGGGTTACATGTGAATGTAATAAACAGTTGTGGATATCCAGCCCATCTGCATATAGCCATAGCATCTTGATAATTCTGCAGCATGTAACGTGCACTCCCAGTAAATGAATTCGGAAGAACAATGAGTTGACCTGTCCTCGATGCATTTGTCTCCCCTCGTCCAACAGCATCTGCCAATCCACTATACAGATCACTCCGTAGCTCCTTTTGATGTTTTCTAATATACTGCAAGCGGCATGACTCAATCATCGTATAACCGTCAACCACAAGTTGTTGGAACAATCTCTTTGTTCGCAATATATATGGGGTCTCAACCATGCGATCCTGAAATCTATATGAAAAGTACTCTCTCATAGTAACATACTTTCTCCCTCCAGTGTTCCCTTCAGTGTTCCCTTCAGTGTTTCCTTCAGTGTTTCCTTCAGTGTTCTCTTCAGTGTTCCCTTCAGTGATCCCTTCGGTTGCACGGGTCAACAACACATTTTCTCTAAAACCGTCCTGGCCATAAGGAAAGAGAAGTGGATACTGCAACCCTAGATAAGCTGGATTTAATTCAGAGATGTACTGTAAAGAACCAGACTTCGTTTGAAGAACAACATCCCTCTCTTTTTTGTTCACATCAAAGTCTCCCTCTATTAAGGCAGCTACTTCGCTTACAGTGGGGGTATTGTACGTACGACCTTCTGAATTCCTCTTGCCTATTAATTTCATTTTCAATGAAGTCGAATTAGATTCATTGAATCTATCCCTCGCCATCCTAAAAGACTGTGCATAAACATTGTATGTGTCCAACATGGCTTTCAGTTCAGCCACCAATGTATCATGTAATGATGTACCACCGTCACGCCTATAACATGCAAGTGAAAGCTAATTAGGAAATGGCGTGTAAGAAAAATACAACACAAGTCAACGTTAATGATATGTGGTTTGCTTAAAAATAAACCATAAGTGTGTAACCACTAACCTGACAGATGCAATTCTAAATGAGATCTCTTCGTTTGGGTCAGATAAGTACATCTGCAAGAATTTTGGCTGATTCCCATCAGTAGGGAGAAGGCTGCCAATTCTATGGTAATTTTGCCCATTCAATCTGAATATTGGTGGATTGTTCCCTCTATTCACATCATGGTCAACTTTTCCACCCATGGAAGTGAAGGAAAACATAGAATTATATGACCTGATGTTTTCAAGGAAATGTCTGCTGCGTTCATCATTCCCAAAAATCAGATCATACAACAAATTTGGTGGTTTTTGCATCTTAGGAAGTACAACGTTCCCTTTATTGCAACACATGGAGAACTTGGGTCGCTGTTTGACTGAACTTCTCTTTACTCTTTCAGCATGCCAAAAAAGTGCTCTGCAGTACTCGCACTCGTAAATAGCATCATGTAGATCTACATAATCTGAAAAAGATAATGATGTTAATTTTATATGATAATAATTACGCATTACAGGGTTATGTATATAAGAATATGATATGCTAATACTATATGCACACACCTTCTGTCGAACATATTGCATATTCTGCATCCTCCTCTGCAAGAATCGGTAGTAATTAGACTTAACATAAGTAAGAGTTAATACTTAAGAATGTAAAGAGATACGAAATTACAAACAAAAAAATATGACACAAATATTCACCATCAACAGGTAGTCCATCATCATCGGACTGTCCATCCAATGCATTCTCTAAATGGTCACCTGTGAAAATGGCATTTATGTATCAATATTGGTAAATAAGTGTTTTAGGTGATTAGTAAATAATTGCTTGCCTTCATTGCGATTGCTGCACTCAAATCTTGATATGTCCTTCATGCGAGCTGAGTTTTGAATGCGTCCTTCAAACATGTTCGACTCAAATAAAACGTAGTCATCTTCAAGTAATAGGGACATTCCAAAACGCCATTTGCCTGTACTTGTTGGGCGTACACTTGTAGTGCTATTATTTGTTATGGCTATTTTTGAAATGTTTAATGAAAGAATTAGATCATATTTATGGTAATACGAAAATGTGATTGGATAAAATGTTACCATTTGTGATATCCTGTAATGAATTTCTTTTTGAGTTTGAAGAAGATGGAGTGTTCCTTTGAAGATTTGTGTGATTCTCAGAGTGGTTTAAACACCCGACAACCTTCTCATGAGTACCTTCTCCATCATGCGTTTCATTTGTCGTTGGACTTACATATTCGTATGAAGACCGTGGTCTTTTGCCCAGTATGATGGTTGATTTTGTCAACTTCTTCATCTAGAAGAAGACCTATATAATTCATATTTAATTTAACTAAGAATTTAAGATAAAAACTCTTAACATAACGTACAAACCTTAAATTATTTGTTATGTATCTATTTTGCAGCATTTTATTATACTACATCCGCCCCAAAATATACTTAGCCAAATTCAAAACTTTAACCAATTATATATATTTATTTAAAATTGTTTATAATATAAAAATGATATGAAAATGTACTTTGTTAAAAGTACTTTCATAAGAGTATATACTACGTATTTTATAATTTTCATAATATTATACTAATAAGAATTATGATCCAAAAGTATAACTTTCATAATTTTATACTAATATTAAAAGTACTTTCATAGGACGGAGGTATTATATACGGAGTGCATAATGAAGTTTATAACTAAAATACTTTAATTATAGTTCTCCATTTTGACTACATTTTATTTAAAAATGCATTAAAAATTATATTTTAAAAATATAATGAAGTTTTGCCTTCATTATATTTTCATTGTAAAAATCATATTTTTAAAAAAAATTACAATTACGAAAATTAAATTAAATATATTAATGGTCAAAGGTATGCATTAGGAATTACAATATTGAGAATGCTAAAATTTACTACTACAATAAATTAAACATATTTAAGGAAATAACGGATAGGGAAAATTTATGAGCACATGAAGTTGACACGTGTGGTATACAGACTGTAAGTGTTTAATTTATGTGGTTGGGGTTGTACATGTTCATATAGTTGAAGTTTGCATGTATTCCATTTGTCTTAATCAATTATTAATAGATCCATATAGTAAAATAATATTTTAATATACTAACAAAACCATAGTTATTCATGATATACTACCTCCGTCCCAAAATATTTAGCCATATCCAAAACTTTTAACGATTATATATTTATTGGAAACTATTTATAATATAAAAATGATATGAATAATACTACGTAATTTTCATAAAACTCAAAGATTTACTTCTTTCATATATAGTATTATATTCATCAAAACCAAGGTCTACATTTTAAAATTTGACTAAATATTCTGAATATACTACTATATTCAACTTTGAAAATGGCAAAGTTACGTTTTTTGACAGAGGTAGTATATATTAAACGTGTTATATTTTTTAATATGTTAAGTTCTACGTGAATAACACACATATATATCCAAATGGAAGAATTAGAAGATAAATAAGGAGGTGGTGTGTGATAAATAAAGAGAGGATATGTGATATTAATATACAATTTTTTTAGAGGATATACAATAATATTCTGAGCTTTGCTTTATTAACAGTACACTAACACGTGAGTTATAACCACACATCTTAATATACGAATAACAAATGATTTTATTTGGCAACAATTAGTACTTTGATTAAAAACTGCTAAAAGTAAAATTTTCCTTATATTAAAACTGTAAACCAAATCTGCCTTAATTAATTATAGAAATTCCCTTGATAAAAACCTGTCAGAATAAATAATACACAGATTAAAAACTTATAAGAATAAAATATAGGTAGTAGTTCATACCTGGGAAAATAGCCCCAAATAGGATTAAATTGTTGCTGAAATTCCTAAATAGGAGTAAGTGTAAAATTATTCCCTAAATAGGACTCTTCTTCCAATTTTAACCCTCTCATTCAATTCAACCATCCGACATCTTATAACACCATCGTAGCACGCTCGCGGTCTTCCTTGCGCACAACAGGGCTTCAATCCAAGTGACCGGTGGGTAGTAGCTAGTGACGGCGAGTAACCCGCGCCAGAGAGCAACGCCGGAGAGTAGCGGCAGAGATCGCCGGCGAGCAGCGGCAGCCAGCGGCAAATCTCTCTTCCTCGCACTCCTCCGATTTTCAATCTTTTTCGTCTGATTCTGGTCCGGTTTTTGTGGAGCCAAGCTTGGGTCTTCTTCTCTCTGCATTGATATTGTCTCTTTGGTTCTTCTTTTGCTCTATAAGAATTTCTTTGAGCTTTTACTGTAGTTTTTTGTTCTTCCTCACCTTTGAGTTGTTGAAATAAAACTGGTTGGGTTTACAATTGCCAAACTTTTTTGAAAATGCCATTAAAATGGCAATCGTATTCTTTAAAAATTTTCATACATTTCTTTGAAAATGCCATTAAAATGGCATTCGATTCTTGTTGGCATTCTCATGAAAAAGTTGGCATTAGATGTGGCGTCGGTTAGATCTGCTGTAGTTGTGGCCGGATCTGCGGTGGAGGCGGCCGGATCTGCGGTGGAGGTGGCCGGATCTGCATGGCGGCAGTCAGCGGCCGGCGGAGGCCAGATCTGGCCTGATCTAGGTGGCGGCGGCCAGATCTACGATGACGACGATCACATCAACAATGACGGCTAGTTTTGAGGCGGCAGCGGCCTCCGGCGTTGGCGGTCCGGCAGTCTTCCGGCGGTCTGTCGGTGGCAGGTCCGGCAGTCTGAAAGTAGCAGTCTATTGTATCATCTTCAGGGATATTTTTGCCTAACTACACATAATAACTCCTATTTTGGGAATTTTTTAACTTTAGTCTTATTTTGACAATTAATAATTTAATTACTCCCATTTAGGTAAATTCCCCTTCATACCTAAGGTAATATAAAAATGCCTTAAATAACTTCTATGTATTGGTAATTAAGTACTTCCGTGATTACCTTAATACGTAGTATCATATAAATGTACACAAAACTGCCTTAAAGAAAAATTTGCCTAACACATATCTAATTTAAGGTGTGAATCAGCGTAATACTATAGAGAAATACTATGTTTCAAAATTCTTGATACCTAAGATATTTAGAAAACGCCTTAAATTAGAACTTCGTAAAAATATATTTACTCCAGGAGTACTCGTTTTCTATGACTGAACTAAAAGAATTGTTAGAAAGTTCCTTAAAGTAGAACTTAGTAAAACATTTAGTATAAATGAGACTAAATTTAAATTCAAGTGATTAATGTGAGACTAATCTAACATCGCCAAAAAAATGGAGGGCACTACTATACGTGTGTGTCATGTGTGGTATTTATGTTCAAGCAACCAATATTATTTGATTTTGCTTGAAATATAAAATATACGGAGTAGAAGTTTGTGAAAATAAATAATTTGTACAAATCGTATACATATACACGCAAAGATTTAATCATAAGAACACCAATAAAATATACGTGCAGGTAATTATCAAATAGGTGTATGTGTAATTGTGTGCTTGAGAATTCCAACAACATAAAAAAGTAGCAAGTATGGACACCTGTTTTTTTAGTAGGCGGAGATGCAGCTCCTAGCAAAAAAAATGTTGCTGACATTCACAACTTTAATGCAAAAATTGTGTTCATCCCGGTGGATAGAACTTGGGCAACTCCATTACGAATAGTAGTAGTGAGATTTTTTGGCTTAAACTTTAAAAGTGAGTTTTGTGTAACCATTCCAAACACTTAAATAGACATAGTAGATAGGGTGGAAAAAATGGGCTGAAATGGGCTTAGGTTAATTAACCAAACCTCAAATATTTCTATATTTTTATAGTAAATGGCCGGTACACAATGTACGTCTATAATATAGCATTTCCTTGTATTTGCGGCTGTTATGTAGTATCTTAGGTAATAGCTTGATTGTAGCTTGATTTTAGTCCTTACGTATATATACTAATAATGGCACTACAAATCCTCTCAACCATAAATGATACTACATGATAGAAAAAGTAGGAGATAAATAAGGAGAGGAAATGTGTATCTCTATAATAGCTTGATTTTGTAGTCCATACGTATAGACTAATAATGTTACTCCTACAAATCCTCTCAACCGTAAATAATATTAGAAAAGGTAGGAGATAAATAAGGAGAGGATATGTGCTAATAATATACAATAATATACAATATTTGGAGCTTTATTTACTAACACGTGAGTCTAATAATTCTTCCATATTATTAGGGGGAGGATTGTGTTCTGAAAAATATCAAGTACTTCATTTTTAAGTAGCAAAAAAATACCTAAATAATAAAATTTATATTCAAAATAGAAATGTCAATGACATTAATTAGTACGGAGATTTTTTTTGGCACCAATTACTACCTTCATTCAACCTGCTATGTATAGAAGTCAATTCTTATAGGTGCCTATTAGATATTAGATTTTCTTATTGCAATTAAAAAAAAAAAACAGTTTATGATAATCTTAAAAAAATTGGGCAACACTTACTACGGACATTAAAAACTACGGAGTACTATATGTAGAGGTCAATTATCATATGTGCCAAATAGATACTCCCTCCGTCCCATTAATTTTTTTTCAACTTTCATTTTTGGACCGTCCCAAAAAAATTCTTCCGACTTTCACTTATTAAAAAATTGTGTGATTCACATTCATTTACCTTTTTTCTTACAGAACTACAATCATACATTTCTACTTTATTCTCACTCCCTTAATTAGCGAGCCAAGTCAAACTGGAAAGAATTTATTGGGACGGAGGAAGCATAAGATTTTGTTATTGCACTTAAAAAAATAAATTAGATAAGGTCTGATTATTAGACTCAAAACCAATTGACCAAATCTGACCAATTGGTTTTGAATGTTTTAAATAATAGCGATTATTATTTTTTGGCAACACTTACTACCTACATTATAAACTATTGTACAAAGAAGCCAGTTTTTATATGTGCATATTATATACTCCGTATAAGATTTGTTAGTGCAATTAATAAAAATCAATCAGATAAAGTATGGATTCAAAAACCAATTGCTCAGATCCGGTAATCATCTTATAAGTCTCGCTAAGATCTGAAGTATATTGCAAGAGTAAACCTATATGTGCATCCGTAAACTCTTATACGTGCCTAATAGGCTAATACAAAATACCACGGATTGCAACTCATTGGCCTGGTGGAATACTCACATTTGGAACTATGGGACATATTAAACACTTGGAAGTTTAAGTGTGGAACAACGTAAACTGCATGCTAGAAGCAGGAGGCCAAATGTGACATATGATATCTATGCAATATAACTATAAGACATATGGAACTATGGAAGATTACTCGATCAATTTAAAAACAACCTGCATAGATTGCATTTGTTGGAAATTTAACTAAAGCAGAACATGGCTCATGCTGCATTGCTGCAGCAGAAAGCAGGGAAAAAACAAAGCAACATAGCAGCTGTTTGGGAAAATAAACCAATGTAACAGTTGATTGTTGAAAAGCAGGAAAATTTCTAATTGAGATTCATATGATTATATCAGTAGCATAAAAGCAACATAGCAGCAAATTAATTAGGTTACACTTTAGAGAATCGAAATACAGAATCTTTTATATTTTTGCAAAATTAAAAGTGCTCTAAAGAAATGAACAGATTATGATTAACAGATTAGAATTGGAAAAAATAATGAAACCATTATCACACAATTTATTATATTAGAAGTACTTGAAAAATAAATAAATCAAAGCTTGTCCTCAACTGGGAGGAATTCCCTTATTCAAGGCCAACAAACGGCACAATCATAACTTTTAAAAACTGTGTTTAGGAGGAAATGCGAATGCAGAGGTACGAATAATCAAACAGAAAATAAAATCCAGTTTTCTAAATGAAGAACTTCAAAGTTTCTCTTTTTTGACCTCCTTCAGCTTCTTATTCTTATTTGTAGACCCCAGTGTTTTATCGTCTGAAATTTCTTTGCTACCATCTATATCCTCAGTTTTTCTCTTTGAGGATGAAGTTGGAGTGTGCCCTTGGTCATGCTCAGGTGATGTAGGTGTCTGAATGAAAACATAATAAATTTTGTATAAGAATTTATATAGATTTTGAATTTATATTTGTGTAGGCATAATCAGTTGTTATGAGTATGCAAACTTACCAAGTTGGATTCTACCGTAGTTCGAGGTTCAAGAATATAGTCAAGATCTGAATCAGAATTATATTCAGCCTGCGTCCACCCAGTTCAACACAATTATACATTTCATATTTGTTTGAACTTATGAATGTTACTCTGTATTATATATCTTCTACTAAAATTATACTTTATGATATTTAAGATTAACGAAGTACCTCTGGCTCTGGTTCATCTTTCCAGGATGACTTGATCTGTTCAATCTTTTCCTTATTGTCTGTTGTCATGCTTATGCAAAAGGCAGCACCGGGGTCCATCTAAACTCGCGATGTCTCTCTCAATTTTGAATAAGTACTCCCGCCCAACCAAGTCGTAGAACAATGGAGGGGCACTGTGAGGTCTTAACTTGACCTGAGCGAAGAGAAACAAATACTTTAAGGTATTTATAGATACCTAAAACACATTGAGTTTTGACATAGGAAATCATAGCAGCCAAAGTGATACTTGTTATGAACATACATCATCCAGGTGTTCATGAAAATCAGACGCAGGTTTTCCCAAAAACTGCTTGCATGCTTGATCCCAGAATAGCAGCTCAGCCTTGTGACGACCGTGCACAACATTCAGCTTCAATTTGTAGAGCCAGTTTTCTTCAGAAGACCGCACTCCGCACTTCGTGCACTCAAACTCATTATCATACTTTATGACTCTTGCACGACATGACCTAAAGTGAATGGGGAGATCAACTTTAGTTTCAAAAAATATATTACCATGAAATCCTATTCTAAGATAAACCAAAGCTGTAATAAAAAACCTTTTGTTTAAATTGTAAAAGAAGGATCTAAATAGCTTAGTTGTTTTTTTTTATTAAAGCAAAGGCAACATCCTGTTAAGGTGTGCAAATAAATAAGTATGAATTCATTTATTTGAATTCCGGGGGGGGGGGGGGGGGGGGGGGGGGGTTGCGGTACAACATGCCAAACAAAAGTAAGCTATTTATTTAGAAATCTAAATATCTAAATAAATGTAATGATTAATTAAGAATCTACTTGTGACTAAATATGACTATATCTTGGAGGCTATTACTAAATATGACCTTTTGAAGCATCCCATATAGGCCCAACCGGTAGCATTCAGAATAGCGTTTATCTTCCCATAAAACCACAACCCACGAACCTGTTCCAAGGGTACATTATTCACAAATGAAACTGATGAACATACCGTATAAGAATGGCAGAATTTGAAATTCAAAAATAAATTGAATGATTATATATACCTCCTTGGTAGTTTGTAGTTCAGACAACATCTTGACAATTCCAACTTCTTTATCATCACTTAATGCAGCTCGGGATGATGTTGAGCTCAAGGATTGTGATGAGCCCATAGCCAACATCCTTAGTAATTTCAATAAATGTCAATAGATTGAAATAATTGCTAAAAGTGTTATTTAAATTTGCTACATCCTGCACATTTATCATGGATATTATCAATATTATTAATACTCACACTTGTGAATTTTCTTCATGGTTCATGTATTTCGCTTTATGGTCTCTACTCTACAATACTTTGACATTAATCACCCTATATGCAAGGTTGGATCAACATAATTGCATCTTTATTATACACATTGCCTTAGAGTAAAAAAAATTCAAAATAATTCCTACCGAGATTACAAACTACTTAGAGTAAAAGCTGCCATACACTAAAACTTTCTATGTAAATCCTTCCTTAATTAGGAAAGCAACAAATTAAGCAAACCAAGGAACTTAAATATGGAAATATGGAAAACCTTATATGAAAGAAGGTTTAAAAATCGTGTGTGTATCAAGGGGAGGATTGTGCCTTAAATTAAAACTGGGAAAAAATTCTACCTTAATTAATTATATATATGGCCTTGGATAAAAAAAAATATGTCAAAATAATTACTACAGAGATAAAAACTGCTAAAAATAAAATATGCCTTAAATTATGTAAATAAGAAAGTTCACACCTATCATATTATAAAAAATGCCATAAATAAAAAAACTCAATAAAAATATATAAAACTGCCAAAAATAAAATTTCCTTAAATTACAACTGTAAACAAATTCTGCCTGAATTATACAAATGGCATTAAATAAAAAAACTCTGTCAAAATAATTACTACCGAGATTAAAAAATGCTAAAAAAATATGCATTAATTTATAACTAAATTAAAACTATCTAAGTAAATCCTCTCTAATTAGCAGACGGTAACTATTTAAGCAAACCAAGCAAAGTAAATAAGTAAAATCTTATATGAAGTCAGGTTTTAAAACCATTGATGAGTTGATGACAATACTAAGTTTAAAAGGTCATTACCAACTTACCAAGGTTGAAAACAAAAGTAAAGAGTGTTACAGTATTAGAAATGAGGATTAAGAAAGCTTCTGCTGAATAGATTGACAAAGCTTATTGAAGGCTGCCATGAAGATCGTTATCAATATTACCTCGTTCGAAAGTCTTCAATGTCAGGGATATTGACGTCAAGGAGAAGCTTTGAGGCATTATATGATGTTGAGACCCCCATCTGCTCACCTGAATTCAGTTTTCCAAAAGAAATATAAAAAGTATTAATTAAAGTAATAATTCTTTGCGATAAATGGGTAGATGCAGGTGTATGTAGATTTGTCCTACCATAGCGTTTGTTGGTGCGTGACAACTGGATGATCATGATTACATATTCCGATGTTGTCCTTTTAGTGTGCTCTACGAATTGTTCGGAATACTCATTGTATAGCGTACAATGCAACCTCTTATCCCTATGCATGGTAAAATTAGAATACATAAATTATTTTGATGTTAATACATGAGAACATTATATAGTATAACAAAATTTGAAATAGTTTTATCACTTAACTCTAAATCACGAAGGTAAAAGTTACAATACTTTGTGGACGCTCCAGCTTCCGCCTTGAACATCTTATCACCGACCTTGAATGCACCAATAACATCTGGAAGTTGTCTCGAGATTACAATTATTATCACACATATTATAGTTACACAAATTATTAAATACATAGTACAAAATAACAGTGTTTAAGATTACCAAACAAATGAAGACAGACATCATCTCCTTCAGCAAAAATTTCTGAGAAGCTTTTTAACTTAAATGATAAGGATGACATAGTACTCTTTTCTTGACGCTTCACCTTGGTTTCCTCTTTGAAACACAGTCTATAACGGTGGGAGGATGGGCGATATTGTTCCACATTGGACCTCACAGTAAAGTACATCATTGCATACGTCTCACCTTCTTCTATTTGGGCTTCAAAGATGCGCACCAGTTGTTGTCCTATAGTAGCTTGAATCCTATCACCCTATTTGACAATAAATTGGAGTCAATTAGAAGTTATAAATTCTTGTAAAGAAATGAATTTTATTTACGTAACTGGAAATTATAATTGGACTTACTCAGATGTAAATTTTAATCAATAAAATAAGTGTAAATGTTATAAAAATTATGTCAACTTTAAATAATTGTAAAATGATGTGTCGGATACAAGCTATGTAAAATGGGTTGTAATTCTTAAGAGGTGGATTGTGCAATAGATTGTAATATTGAGGCTTAACCGTGGTAGAAAAGAGTTTTGCAGGTAAAATATAATGAAGTCCACTCTTGGAATTAACTCATTCAAGTCACTTTTTCTTCTTACCGATTAAAAGTATTGTCACTTGAAAATGAGAAAAAAAGTGTACATTGTACATTTTGGTCAATATTGCTTCTTAAATGAACATGTCATGACATTTGTACCTTTATTTTATCATTTCCTTTAATTTTCATCAAGTTAATCTAATTCAGTCATATCAAAAAATCAATTCCGTCAAATTAAAGATGTAGATTGATGCTCTGACCAACCTTCTAAAATTAAAATGGAGGGTGTTATGATCTAAGACTTATGACCAATATTTCATTTCCTCATAAGTTGTGAGATTTTTAAGGTTTTTTTTTAGAGGAACCTATACATAATATGGATTATATGATTACATTTTCAATCTATTGCAAAATTAGCTTATCATAAAGATATCGGCCTGTAGCTTATGATTTATAACGATTCTTTTTATTGATATTTCTATGAGCAGTTATTTTGAGTGAGTTTCATCTGCAGCTGGATGTAATTTCATTAGTTCATTAACAATGAGAAGAAATAGTGACAAGATTTTTCACGCCTCAAATTCCGGAACTTAATATGATTAATATTCAATTATTTGTTGAATGAAGTTTATCACTTTCGAGCTAACTTCACATTGTTATGTTTTTTCAGTAATTCAATCATCAATAATCATTGACAATTTTTTGAGTGATTTGTGCAATTTGAGTTTTGAACTCATTTCATTTTTGAATAGTTAACTAACATCCCAAAATTGTAGCTACTTTGGAGTGGTTATATTAGTTATGTTTGTTCTAAATATTCACAAGATGAGAAACTTTGAAGTTTGAGTATGAAAAGACGAAGGTTAGGGGTGGACTCGGGCTGGGCGGCCCGAACCGGAACCGGCCCGGCCCGATCACTGTTTGAACCGGCCCGGCCCGATCACTGTTTGAACCGGCCCGGCCCGGCGGCCCGGCCCATGGGCGGTTCGGGTTGACCCGGCCCAGTGGCTACTGGTTCCGGGCTCAGGCCTTCATTTTGGTGAACCGGCCCGGCCAGTTCGGGCCCGGTCTGGGCCGGATTTTTTTTTTTTTTTTTTATTTTTTTTTTTAAGTTTTTGGGTTGGATCGGGTATTTTGGACCATTTGAGGTGGTTTGGGGTGGTTTGGGGTTGAGGGGGAGGGTAGGGGGTTGATTAGGAAAACCCAAAAAACAAAAATTATATAGAACTGAACCGGGCCCGGCCCGAACCGGACCCGGGGGTTACCCGGGCAGGTTCCGGGCCTCCCCTACCTTGAACTGAGGCCCGGCCGGTTCAAGGCCCGGCCGGTTCAAGGCCCGGCCGGTTCAAGGCCCGAACCGGGCCCGGCCCGAACCGAGTCCACCCTTAACGAAGGTTGAAATATCGCAAAAAAATGTTGTAAGGAAATCTTCAACTGTTTGTAATGTGCGTACTAATTAAATTTGTGAGAGTACTTTCCGATTTGACTTGGATTATAGTTTAAGAAATTGGGAATAAAGTGTGAATGTATGGTTGTGTTTAACTAGCAATAAGATAAATTAATGTTAGCCACACAAAATTTTCCTTAAATATTACTAAAAAATGTTATGGACAGAAATGTGACTTAGTAACTATTATTGACTATAATTGTGTTCAGAGTTTACATCACAGTAACTTACATTTAGTTACTACGATGTAAATTTTGAACACAATTGTAGTCACTAATAGTTAATAAGTAATATATATTTGTCCATCACATTTTAAAGAGTAATATTTATGGAATTATTTTGAAATTTAAGGGATGAAGGGAGTAATTGTTATTGTTTTCTTATAATTTCACTCATTTATACGATAATTTGTACTACATACTTTATTTTTATATACAAATTTGTAAATGCATAATATATTTAGATTTACATTGTTTACAAATTGCATCCCGTGCAACGCACGGGTGAGATACTAGTCTTTATATATATAAAAAGGGGACCGTCTGTCCCCTAACTGTTCCCACCTAGGGAATTTACGTGCTCATTAATTAACGGCTGCTTCTAATTTCTAATTTTGGTAACTATTGGGCGATATTTGCAAATTGTAACAGCCACGTCGTTTTAAATCAGTTACGTAGTACTCAGTATTTAACTGCTTGCCCTCCTTTAATCATTCTTTTGTTCTCCGCAGTATTATGGCCTTTATGGGTAAGTTCATTCTCGATCTTATTCAAATTATTTCGAGTACATTTATTATCATTGAATCACATGTATAATTTCATTTGTTTATCAATGAGATGAATAACTCCAATAGAAATGGGGTTTGAAGCTTTGCTTTTCCATGAGCAATAGAAGTACCCTCCAAAAAAAGGATGTCAAATATAATATGTATAATGTAGTACTACGTATGAAATAGATGTATCTTCATAGAATCACATACAGGTACGCATTTACCATTTGATCATGACATGTTAAAAATAAGATTTTTCAAATCTGATGCGTGATGTGGGTCTTATATATGATGATACATCATTGACAGTAAGGTTGTAAATTTGTAATAGTGTAAATGTGTAAGTTCTGATCATCTGATGCATAGACGTGGATGGTTAAAAATCCATAAATACTGTAATTTATTCTTAAAAGTATGATTTATAAGATACTGAGTAGTATAATACGTAGTATAACAGTCAAACCACAACAAAACACAATAATATGATTTCTATGGGATAAAGAGAGTAATAATATGTAATTTCTTGATTGTTCCTCCCAAAATAACCAGATAATGTGATTCATCTTCCCTCCCTCCACACGCCTTATAATTTAGAATTGGCAGTGAATGAAATTAAAACAGATGAGTTATTTTCATCTTAGGAACAACGTGGCTTTAAACTTTTAATCCCATTACTATTTTTTATGCAAAAGTGCGAGGAGTGGAGGACTGAAAGTCTGCCAGTATGGAATGAGTTAGTTAATTGATAACATATGTACTTTAAAGGGTGGACAAAACCATATTCAAATTAAGGGAAATATAATTCGAATTTACGGTGGAGCATGCTTCTTGATAATTGGGAATATATTTAACTAATAATTCTAACTACTTTGAAATAATCACGCAAAAAATATAAACACATTATTGTCCCGTGCATCGCACGGGTACAAATACTAGTAGAGAAAAGCATGATGCATTGATGCTCGTCGAAGCACTTGAGCAAGGGAGCAGACGACATATTCCTTTCAATTTGCTTGCTTATAGGGATTTATGGCAATTTATATATAGCTTAGTAGCCTCAAATCTTTAACGAAGAAAACCAATGAAAGAACATTCTGGCTACTATACCCTCACCGGATGGGATTCTTTCTTCTCCAACTATAGATGACTATTACAGTAGAATCAGTTGTTTGTTGCGTTCTTGTGAATGCCGATCAAAGGATGAGACGACGTAATAGCTATAGGAAGAAATATGAAAGGGGTAAGATTTGTCCAACACTCCAAAACACCAATTTGGGGTGTTAAAAAGGTCACTTATTGAGGTGTTAGGGAGGTTTCTGTTAAGACCCGAGGTTCCATACTAAAAGGTCAACCTGATAGGAGTAGTAGTCCAAAGCCTTTTATAGTGTTTAATTGTTTTATAGCTTTCCGGTGTGGGACAAATGCTTCAACACGCCCCTCAGCTCGAACCGGCCGGGCTGGACAATATCGGGGTGTATAAACGGTCCAAACAAACTCTTAACAAGTTACCCTTAATCGTGGGTGCTAAACAAGTCGTCAAACCACAACTGGAATTGGCTCTGATACCATGTTAAGGCACGAGGTTCCATCCTAAAAGGTCAACCTGATAGGAGGAGTAGCCCAAAGCCTTATATAGTGTTTAATTGTTTTATAGCTTTCCGGTGTGGGACAAATGCTTCAACAGTTTCCCCCAACACTTTTAAACACTTACTAACACTCCAATGTTTTTTTAAAAAATTTCACAAACAAGTGTTAAGACCAACACCCCTGAACACTTCCGTTGCTAACACCCTTCAACACTCAATCCAAACATGCCGTAAGGGGAGACGTACAGGTGATTTGAGTAGGAAAGGTTGTGTTAACGGGAGGATGACGGCCGTTTGGTGAGGGAAACAAAAGCGAGTACACTTGGTGAAATCGTAAGTACATATAGACAAAACTATGATATTATACTAACAAATTTTCCTACCTAAAATAGCCTTACTCTCATTGGTGCTTATACGTTTTTAGAGATTCCGGGACGCTGGCGATGGTATCGGGCTTGTGTATGAGCGCAACGAAGCAACTTCTTAGCCCCTAGCCTGATCAATCGGGGTTGAAGGTGATGGAATGTAAGGGGAGAAACAGAGGTGATTTGAGTGGGAGAGGTTGTGTTAACGGGAGGGTGTCACCCGTTTGGCGAGGGAAACAAAAGTGAGCGAGTACACTTGGTGAAGCCTTAAGTACATATAGACAAAAGTATGATATTACACTAACAAGTTTTTCATACCTAAAATAGCATTAGTCTCATTGGTGTTTATAAGTTTTAAGAGATATAGATTAGAATTAAAGTGTGATAGAATGGGTGCTCCATCGAGATCGATACTGGCCTGGAATTCCAGAAACAACAACAAACCAAAGAAATTAAACACATTCAATAAGCCCGCCCGCGTGCCTACCTGCCTTTTAATCATATCCTTTATATTTAGCTATTGACGCTTTCATATCCACTCTCATTTTGGTTATAGTAATCTGTCGTAGTTTTTCTCACTTCCTTTTCACGTTGATCTTGGTCATATACTCATATGACGTACTTGGTTGCTCTTCCTCTTCCTCTTCTTCCGCATGACACTCATCCTCATCTTCATCCTCATCGCCGCTACTTCAATTCCATCACTATCATCTTCTTCATCTCCCTCATAGTCATCGTCGCTTCCATGACTATCTTCTTCCTCTTCCTCATCCATATCTGGACGTTCTAGCCGCAGGTTCATACCACCACACTTGTCGTCATCTAAATCATCTTCACGCCCACTAGAGCTGCTGCGGCGGCTCTTACATTTCAACGAGTACTGGAAACCAGCAATCACCATTACTATATATACGTAGAAGTAAAACGTAGTATAAAGTGTGTGTGTGTGTGTATATATAAAAGCCCGTAGACCATAGTGTATTATACTACGTGCGTAAGTAACTAGCTAGCTATTGATTTGATGAAGCTAGGCCAGCTGATAAATAAGGTTTAATTATTCGCGATTCAGAATTTCTCAACTCCAAGTTAGTGAGCTAATCGCTGGAGTTTAAATAATGGAAAAGAATTAATTGAGCCTTTGATGTCAGCTAGGGTGGAGATAGATGTCGAACGACGTTTCTATTTATAGAGTAAGTGAGGGCCCATTTCAAGTATGTAAGCTAGGTTTCACATTTTTGAACCAACGAACTTATTCTAATTAGTCGATCGATTTCGCTATAAAAATCCTTGAACTCATCCCATACCTCATACGGAGTATGTCTATATTTTTGGAATCGGGCCCACATTATGCCCGGAAACAAATGTGTATTTATTTGCCTTTCTTAACTAACTAGATTTTCACCCGTGCTTCGCACGGGATGCAGTTAGTAGTAAGTAATAAATAGTTTGAGAATATAACGAAATGTTGTGGAAAATATAGATCAACGTATATATCATTTTTAACAAATGTAAATGAAGATTAAAAAAATTACAAATTATTATATACTTCCTTGTAAACCACATTTATAGTCTTCTTGGCCGGTTTTCCATCATCATCACATATAACAAACTTCAATCCAGATGGAGACGTCACTCTTGAGACCGCGACATAAAGTTGTCCATGGGTGAAAACCGGACGACGTAAGAAAACACCAACCCTCTCCAAAGACTGCCCCTGACTCTTATTAATGGTCATCGCGTAACTGAGCATCAAAGGGAACTGTCTACGTTGAAATGTGAACGGTAGCTTTAGGTCGGATGGAGTCAAGCTAAGTTTCGGAATGAGGAATTTTTGTCCTGCATTTGTTCCAGACATCATCTGAGCCTCGAGAATATGAGTTCCAAGTTTAGTGACGATGAGGCGGGTGCCATTACACAATCCGGAGGAATGATCTATATTCCTCATTAGCATCACAGGTGCACCCACTTTCAGCTTCAGCTCATGACTCGGCACACCAGAGCATTTAATGGTATTGAGAAATTCTGGAGAGTGGATCTCTTGAAGGAGTGCACTGTCTGAGTCAGAAGAAGATGCTGAATCTGAGCTTAAGTATGTCTTTACCTCACCTGGAGTCAATCCCAACATGTAATCGTTGATAATGTCGCGCTCATCAATGGTTGGCGCAAGAATTGCCCTGGAATTCAAATAAGAAACATCATTACAGTGCATTTCAAAATCGGGATAGGTGATCTTAACAATAGCTTCAATTGGATCATCCGTCATAGGAGCAATAAATTCTTCAGGGATGTCAACCATTGATTCTCCATCATCACCGTCCCCTAGGACTCCATCTCCAATTTTCAATATCCACTCGGCAAAGTTTTGAATCTGTAATGTATATGATGTTCCTCCCACGCGCCCGAGTCTCATATTCTTTGTCAACTTCAAGACCCTGCAGTGTGACCACAAAAATGATGAATTCAAAGCCGCTTGCACAATGTCTTGTCTTGTGCCCTTTGGAATGACAGGCAATATTTGCCTGAAGTCCCCGCCAAATACGACCGTCTTCCCACCAAAGGGCATGGTAGAATCACAATCATGTGAGTAGCGAAGGACATCTCTCATGCTACGATCAAGTGCTTCAAAGCAAAACCTGCAGATCATTTTACAACCAATTAAATCATTTTGAATATATATGATGTAATTTGAGCATTAATTATTCATCAAACATGTACCTATGTGTCATCGGTGATTCATCCCAAATGATCAAGCTTGTACGTTCGATAAGCCTCGCCAATGGGCTTCCATGCTTTATGTGGCATGTTGAATCTTCTGTTGCATCCAGTGGAATGGCGAATCTAGAGTGTGCGGTCCTTCCTCCTGGTAGAAGCAATGATGCAATACCGCTAGATGCCACATTGAGTACTATTTGCCCCTTGGACCTGAGCGCCGCAGACAAAGTTCGCCACAAGTATGTTTTTCCAGTACCACCATATCCATACACGAAAAATACACCGCCACTTTTTCTGTGTACAGATTTCAAGATTTCCTCATATATAGCATGTTGCTCATCATTCATATCAGCCATCAAACTTTCATGCTCCTCAGTCAAAGCACATTTATCATATTTCATTTCCTCGTTAATGAGAACATCTTCCATCAAAGGCATGTATGAGTCAGGAGGCAATGGCATTCCAATAAAGTCACGTAATGATCTTCCTCGTAGCTGTAGAATTTTCTCTATCTCCACTAAACAGTATTTCTCTATCTCCTCATCATTCATTTCGTGCTCTACAAAAAAATATTAGCCATATTAGGTATTTGATTTACATTAAATTTTACATATTTAAATCATAAAAAGTCAAATTCCAAGTGAGATACTTTTTATTGACTATATCAAAACCCACATATACCTGGATCATTCAGTGTCCTTCTCATATTGTACAATATATCTTCTGAGAAATACTGACGGCATTTCTCCCAGACCAAGTCCGCCTTTGACAGTGCGCCCGCAATGAGTAGAGTGACAAACACTTCACGCAATGAAGGTGCGGTTGACCACAGACCTGCCTCGGTGATGGCTTGAATGTAATCATTGTCGTCTAAAAGCAATCCCCGAGCATAGCAAGCATCTCTAAATGTGGGATATAATATGCCGTCAACTGTTTTTAACTCATCAAAACTTCTTGGTCCCTTTACCCAGTTTAATAGGGTGCGTAAGTAGTATTTTTCACCTGTTCCAGGGCGAACAAAGTAGACACAAATCACAATATAAGTAAACGCAAAAAAACAATATCACAGGAGTATGATCATTACGGAGTATATGATAATCTCATTGCAAATTATAAAAATATCGCCTTCATCAAAGTTATATTCATGAACAATTTATCATTAAATCTCAAGTAATATATTCAGTGGTGTAATAAACTTTATTTTTTTAAAACTGAACCAAACCACATTGAACTTTAAAAATATTGTAGTTTGATTAATAACAATGTTAAGTCTGAATTAATATATCCACGGGTGAATAATAATAATAATTATTATTTTTTACCTGCTCCAGGGCGAACGAAGTAGACACGTCCAACCGCAAAACTTCGTTGTCTTTCGACCCACTGTTTAATCTTTTTCTTCCACACAAATTTGCTAGGGAAGTCCACATATGTCAACTTTCTGGCCTCGGGGTATACTTGATTTGCTCTCATCCATGCAGTAAATTTTGTCTCGTGAATCATATGATTTGATAGGACGTCTTGGACAGATTTATCTGCACTATAATACACATTTTGCTCGCCGGGCAAGTGAAAACTAAGATGCTCAACTGGCACATCCCTATAGTGTATGTGGAATCCGAAAATCCTCCAAGCAGCCTCGCAAGCAGAGATGTACCGACAATCATAGTACATATTGATCTCATCAATTTTCTGCTGCTTTGAGCTATCTGCTGCCTCAGAGAATGCGACTGTGATTCGATCATCACCTTTATTTATGTATTTGAATAGATATTTCACCGCTCGTGACTGGTTGCACCATTCGACATTAATGTGTGCCCCATACTTGAGCAGCAAATTACGGTTTATAGGTTCTATCTATGGTAATAAGCAATTGGTGATGAAGATCAGCAGAACAATTACTATAATAAACAGGGCCAATGAAATGCCTATCACGGCCACGTTTAACTCATACTGAAAAGGACTCTAAGCTATGGTACAGTTTTAGTACTCTAAACATAAAGTAATGATTATAAGATTTATATATAAAGAGTGTCGTTGATGAATATTTGATATGCACTTTAAGTAACATTGATTTATGATGGGATAAAATAAATTTTGCTGATAATATGTGCGCATGTATATAACTCTGGAACATATACGGAGTAAAATTTATATATTCATAAACTATGCAAAAAATCATACGGAGTATCAAAGAAAAGTACGTAACAAATTCATATACGGAGTAAAATAGTCGTATGGGAGAATAAAAAAATGAAAACCTAAAATTCAGACTTCGGAGTACTACATGTTGTGCAACATACCGTAGAAACGGCGAGTCTTGGAGTCAGTCATGAAACTGGGAGCTCGTGCATTGGAATCATACGTATGTTTGCTGTCAAATGATAACTGTATTACTCACCGTCCATACATACTTCCTGCTCGTATATATTAGAAGTCCGTTTTATTATAAAACATGATATAAATGCCTCACAGTGCGTGTTACAAAGCTTTGTAAATGGAAAACTTTCATAATCAAATCATATACTATCGTGTATGTATATACACTTCGTGTGTGTGTGTCTATATATATATATATATATATATATATATATATATATATATATATATATATATATATATAATCACATTAAGCAAACTATAATTCACCTGTGCTCAAGGAATCCGGAATAATGGGAAGGAAGCGGTATAGAAGAGGAATGGTCGGCGGCACGGCTCTGCCTAAAGCAGTCGAGGTCACCAGCGGAGAACCACCGCTATGAAGCAAGGAGAACAACCGCAGCAATATGAACCAACTGAAGGAAGCTGTTTTTTTTTTCGTGCAGCAAAGGTCAATTGTACTCCGTATCTTTGTTGCTGATGTTTTTTGTTTGTTGGTGAGTGCAAAGACTTCTAATTGACGTAAAATTGCAAAACATCTGGGCAAGCTTTTAGGTAGAATAGTTATGAACGAAATTAAAAAAGTTATGGAGTATTTTGCTTAGAGTGGTATAGCTTTTTTATTTATACTCCGGTTGTTACAAAAAATATATCAAAGTTCATAATTTTTTATTATCTTTCATATGACACCAATATTGCATATATAAAAGTAAAAAAATAATTAAGCATTATAAAAAACATGTTATTAAAGTGTTTTAACTTTTGTTTTTGTACTCGGATAGTTACAAAATACTACTACCTCCGTTCTTTAATATTAGTCCTCTTAGGCTTTGGCACGGGTTTTAAGAGGAAAGTAGTAGGGGTAATGTAAAATGTGTAATGAGTATTGGGTAAATGAAAAAGTAGGAAAGAGAAACGGGTAATGGTAATAAAAGTTGGGGTATAAAGGTATATTTAGAGTAAAAATTTTCCTTAAATGGAAAGGAGGACAGATAAAAAAAGCGTCCTAAAAAGGAAAGAAGGACTAATAAAAAAGAACGGAGCGAGTACGTATATATCAAAATTTTCAATTTTTTGTCATATTTCATATGACACCAATATTGGGAAAATTCCCGAAATAGGACTAAAAACATTTGAAAATTCCAAAATAGGACTGTCATATTTTTATTCCCAAAATAGGAGTAATCACTGCCAAGTTTGGAAAATACTGCCATTTTCAAAGCCTGGTACTGCCAAAACATGGCAGTAATTAGTCCTATTTTGGGAATAAAAATATGACAGTCTTATTTTGGAATTTTCAAACGTTTTTAGTCCTATTTAGGGTAATTTCTCTGTAATATATTATTGTCATTGTAACTCCAATTTTTCCCAACAATATTTTGAGAAATAGTTTTAATTTGTACTAATTTGATAATTATTTTATCATTTTAAATTAATTTGGGGAAAAACTCAATATATTACTTAATCCATCTCAATTTGATGATAAGATTTGCTACACATTAGCTATTGGGATTCTTGAGATGATTAGATTTGCTAAATAATAGAAGTGTATGTAGGTTAAAAAGAAAAAGTTAATATTCGAAAACATCAAAGTAGGTTAAAAATAGGAAAGCCACTTTCTAGAGAAACAACTATCTAACGATAACATCAGCAGGATAGTTCTAAAGTAAATCTTAATTAATGTTAATAGCAACAAAAATGTTGAAATAACAATCTGATGAAACGCATAACAAAATACTCGAAACGCATAACAATTCGGAACAATGGAGTTGAGCTTCTTAGTAGCTGAACTAAAAACGAATAACAAACCCCTAAAGTGAAAAAAAAAATTAAAAGTGATAATAATTTATGGTTTCTCTATCTTGACCGATTTGAGCTTCTTAGTAGCTGAACCTCGAGTCAGTGGAGTAGATGCACCAACATCAAGTTCACAATCAATATCATCTTCAGAGGGTCGCTTAGACAATGATTGTGGAGTACTCACGACCTCCTCAATATCCTTGGAGATATGTGTCTGCATTAACAGAACAATAAAACTATGATTCCATTTTTTACTAATGACAACGAAAACAGGTCATTTACTCAAGTTATTCAGTTTGTCTCAAAATATAATCAGGGTTATCAGAAGAAACTAATTCATTACTGTCACATTAATATAAAATACAAAATAAACTTAAAGAAATCAGTACTCTATAAATGAATCAAACCACACTCTTAAAATTAGAACTGGAAGGCATGATCTCTGTAGCAAATGCATGTTGCATATTAAAACCTGACTTGTGCAAGCAAAAGCGTAAACCTTAGGTTAAATATAAACAACGAATAAGGTTTCAGATAAATTGATTTTGAATCTTTTATTTGTATATACCAGGCTGATAAATTCCAAACTTAAGATACTTTTTTTTAAGCAATTGATTAACAAAACATCATCCGAATCATATGAAATCTGCTAGAAGATTTAAGATGAAGCTGAAAGTTATACTCTTTAAATTTTAAGATTTAAGATTTTAAACTCTTTAAATTTCAGATTTCTTTTGTTCTCCAAAAAAAAATATGAAGCTGAAAGTTATACCAAGTTTGATTCCACAGGAGTTGGAGGGTCATCCAGCATGTCTAGATCGTAATCTGAATCGTTCTCCTCTGCCTGCAAGGATTTGATGCTTAAAATGTCATAAAAAGAAGTCCATTATTTAGCCCTTATAACTTAGCAATAAGATATATATATATATATATATATATATATATATATATATATATATATATATATATATATATATATCAATGATTTACCTCTGAATCTGATGAACCATCAAAAGATGATTTGATCTCATTGATTTTTTCTTTGTTGTTAGACAAAGCCCCTACATAGTAGGATTTCCCATGGACAGTTGACGGCCCTTCACAGTCAATCTTAAACAGGAACTCATTACCAACCAGCTGTTCAATATCTTCTGGACAGCTCCTAGGACCAAAGGTGTTCTAAACAAAATATTTTAAAACATATGTTTACACAACCACGTGTTATATGATTCAAAAGTGTGAATGTAAGAGATAATATACTAACCTCATCAAGATGGGAAGAAAATTCACTTGCATCCTTTCCAAAGAGTCTTTTACATTCCCGATCCCAGAATACTACTTCAGCACTACATAGCTTATGCTCAACTCTTAATTTCAATAGATAAAGCCATATGCCTTCTGAAGAGCGCAACCCACACTTGCATACCAATTCGTTTCCGTCTTTGTGAGTCACCTTTTTGTATAGATTGTATAAACCAATTAAAAGAAAAAGGTGAACAAAGTTGATCCATTACAAATTACATTATTAATGAGGGTTATGTAGGTTGATATACACGATCAAAAGAACCCAAAAACAAAAAAGAATTAAAAGAACAAAAGAAATACAATGAATGATTTGTTTTGAAGATTGATTATGAACGATCTAAAGAGTAAAAACTTTGTGAACAAATGTTGGATTATAAATCTCTTCATGGGATACAAATCTCACTGGCATTACTAAAAAACAGTTTCGTAAAAAATGATGGCCAATAAAGCAGTATAGTAAAGGCCCTAATAATCAACTATTAAGGGGGTCAAACTTGGTATGTTTTCAATTAGTTTGAAAT